AGACAATGACTAAAGTTGTACGTGTGGCTTGTTGTACACTCTTCATGTAATTACAAACTGTAGGGGAACCCCATGTGAGACCTCATATATCAAACTAATAAAATTCGCTCGGCAATGTAAGCCACCTTAATAACAAAAAAAAAAAAAATAATTATTATATATTAAAATTAACCTATTTTTTAATTATGTTTTATTATATAAAATAATTCAAATATTTTAGTATAACTCTATTGTCTAAAATTTTTTTAATTTTTTGTAATATTTATAAATTTTAAAATTTATTTCATAATATTCTGAAATAATTTTACAATGCAAATATTTTAAAATTTATTTCACAATATTCTAAAATAATTTGTACTGTGCAAAAAATTTCAAAATTTATTTCATAATATTTTAAAATTATTGTAATATGCAAAATCTTTTGAAATATTTTTTATTTATAATTTTGCTAATATATATAAATATCTGAGTAAGTTTAAAATTGCAATAATTATTCACTATGTATATTTAGTTGAGTTTATTTGTATTAGTAATAGATATCTACATTATAATATAAGAGTAAAGTCTCTTGTATATTTAGTTTAGCTTTTGTATTTATATGTATAGTTTAGCTAGAATATTTATATTATAATTAGTATTAAAAGATAATAAAATAAAAAGCAAGATCTTCTTGTAGGAAAAAAAATATATAATCTTTCCAACAAATCATTTTTACAAAGTAATATCTTGTTTTGATACTATTAAGAATCTTTTTTTTGTATCTTCTGTTACTTGTAATATATTAAGAAAACTATACTACTTGTAATATTATAAAATACTTATTTATAAATACTAATACTTAATTTAAATACTTATTTATAATTAATTATTTAATACTTTTTAAATAGTACATAGGTATAAAGATAATTTATTAATTATAAAATTAGCTAAATACATTAATTTGAAAACAACTATAATATATTTATTATAATAATACAAACTCTTTCTGATGATCTTTTTTCTAAAAATTCAAAAAAGCAAAAAACAAAAATTTATTGAAAAAGACGAAGAAGTTTCTTTTACAATATAATGGTTTTTATAAAAGTCAACTGCTTTCTCTCAGAAACTTCTTTGTATATTCAATATACAAACTAAAAATGATATTATATAAGATAACTAGCAGGTAGAGCCCTTGTTTAAAAAATTTTAGTAAAGAGATAAAAAGAGCTCTTTGTTGACAAAGTTAGTAAAAGAAGATTTAAGAATAGGGGACAATAAATTATTTTGTCTATACATTTTTTTGGACTTTAAAAAACAATAATATACTACAAGCTTTTTCCTCTAGTCTCTCTTTTTTTTTGATAAAAAGTAAAGAATTTGGTTTCTCTCTTCAAAAGATCAGTATTGTTTACTCCTTCTATTTTTAGAAAAACTCTATGAATATATAATCTCATGCAGTAAACAAAGTTATGTACTCTGTTTAGCAAAGTCATATACTTTGTATTTATAAAGTCATATACTTTGTTTACTTATTTAGTTTATTACATGACCTCAGTACTACAGGTTCTAAATTTTAATAATAAATTGTATGTTAGAAAGAGAAATATTTAAGATAGATTATAAATTACACAACTTAAAATTTTTAAGCCTAACTCAGGTTATAGAATATCTGGTTACTTTTTTTATTTGCTATCCCTTCTATTATATTACTGCCTAACAAAGTTTTTACGATTTAAAACAAATTTTTCTTTGTTAGTAAGCTTAATACTTTTTGATTAGTAACAATTTTTATTTTTTTCTGCTACTAGGTATTAATATCTTTTAATTTAGCTTTAGTTATATTAGAAGGAACTTGGTTTTGGCAGTCTGATATCATAATTCTGGTTCTAATAACTAGTGTAACAAATCATACTTGAGTATTTTTAGAAGCAGCTGAATAATATTAAGCTTATAAAATTAGATAGAATTTTTTTTTAAGTTCAATATATAACAAGTAGGATAACTACAGTTAACAACCTAATAAAATTTTATGACAAGACTATTAAAGAAAAAAAAAAAACTATAAAATATGATTGATATTTTTGATATTATAAATACAAAATTTTATCAGATTATATTAAAATTTTTGTATTCAGTACAAAGTATAAGTTTTTATACTAGTGTATTATAATATGAGCTAAAGGTCATATTACACTTCTAATAAAGATTATAAAATAATAAAGAATAGCTTTGCTAATTCTATACTATATTCCATTTACCAAAATATCCAGATATTTTACAAATTTAGCTATTTTAAAGCCTAATCTGAGTACTTTATATAGGAGTATTGTACATGAGAAGGTATATATATTATAAAATACCCAGGGTCAGAGTTGGCAATGGATAAGGTCCATTGAGAAAATTATCAATGGAGCCAATAGAGTGAATGGAATAGTATTCATTGGCTCCATTGGCTCCATTAATTCCATTGAACTAACCAATCATATATATATATATAAGGCAGGATTTATTATGATGTAATTGCGATATCTCGTGATCCAGTGATCAGAAGAACCAGATTATTTATATACCATTAGATTCGTCTCATTGAAACGAATCGAATGGTACAAAAATCATCTGATTCTAATCACTGGATCACGAGATACCTTCATTTAAATAAAGAACCTAGGTTTATAATTAGTCTTCATCATAACATGCTAAAATTGACCTTTTTTACTAAGTAAATCGATCTTAGTGCATTAAGTAAAGTTGTTTGAAATGCAAACTTCTACATAATGTAAAATTTTAGTAAATTTTGGGTAACTTTTTATTAATGCACTTTCCTTTTATACGTTTCTACGCCAGTGATCTAATTATAGCACAAAATCGTATAAAACGAAAGTGCATTAATAAAAAATTATCCAAAATTTACTAAAATTTTATATTATGTAGAAGGTTGCATTGTGAACAACTTTACTTAATGCACTAAGATCGATTTACTTAGTAAAAAAAGTCAAATTTGGCATGTTACGATGACTTCTTGCAAGAAAACAATTATAAAATTAGGTACTTTATTTAAATGAAGATATCTCATGATCCAGTGATCAGAATCGGATGATTTTTATACCATTCGATTCATCTCGATGAGACGAATCTAATGATATAAAAATTATCTGATTCTGATAATTGGATCACAAATTATTGGCGGTAAAACTTATGTGTACCATAATACTCTTACTTTATTATAATTTATAATACATACAGTATAGTATTTTGTTGGACTCCATTGGCTCCATTGACAAATTATTCTCAATGGAGCAATGGACCAATGTCAATGGAGGTCTATTCCATTGAGCCCAATGGATAAATGTGCCAACCCCGCCCGGGATATATATGTAAACAAATGGTAAGCAAAATATGTAATGCAATATAAAATTGGACCAAAATTCAATACATGTACCCCGGGTATTTTACAAATTTTGAATACTCATAGCATTATACCTGGATATTTTACAAAAATTTATGAGAGGTACAATACATATCTGATATTGAATTTGATCTACGTAAATTAGCCAATTAGATAAACGTTACTTATTACTTTATCGAACGGAGAATTTTTGTTGTATATAAAAAAAAATAAAAAATTTTCGATCCCCACTTTGTCAATGCATGAAAACCAATTATATAAATTTATATGGCCTAATCAACTTAGTAAAATTTTTTTTTATACTTAATATTCCGTTCTACGTATTACCATTTAACTATATTGTATTACCAAATAATAGCATAACTATACCTATTTATATACTTAATAACCTAATTGAGAATGCTGCTTGACAACTAAAAAGAATTATAGCTTCTCTCACAAGATATGAGCAAAGCTTATAACTCAACTATTCGAACAAATGAAAAATTGACAAATGACTATTGGATTAACAGACATAATCCATGACCGATAAGTAAAAATATATCTAAACTTTATACCAAAATAACTTTGGGGTCTTCTTTTGAACCCTAACCCTAAAAAAAAAAAATAATACGCCCTCAAAAAATTTTAAAATTTCATATTAAATTAATGTTAGGCATTGATCAGATTGACAGTCGTCATTTGACTTCAAATTTTTGCGCCATTGCTTTATTACTTCGATAGTAACGATCAGGAACGGTATATAAATCGGGGGTTTTTTTTCTAACCATCAAAAATGATTTGGCCCAAAAATATCGATTTATATCGATCAAATTTTTCATGGTCCTTGTGCTGTATTTGATTAACTTATAATTCATTTTGTCCAATCAGAGACAGGATCTAATAGAAAATTAGCAAACTATGCACCAATCTCAACTACTATATGAAAATCTTCATGAATCGAAAGGCTAAATAAACGCGTGATCAAAATGAAAAAATATGCATATGATTGCATGAAAAATTTGTACAATTGAATATGAACATAATTTCAATTTAATTTAGAAAATAATTTTAATTTCTTTATAAAGTTTAATTGAACAAAAAAAAAATACTTTATAAAATAATTTTATCTTTTGGAAAACTTGAGAAATGACAATCATGTAAATATATAAAATAATATATTGTGACCTAGTAATCATTTAATCTATCTCTTACACGCCTTTATCTGTAAATTTCAAGAGTTATCTGTGATATAAACCTATCAAACTATATACGCAGTATGTATTCAAAGCTACACTATGATAGGAGGACGAATATAAATGTGATGGGAATATATATAATGCGCAGGATAAAAATATTGCACAAAAAATATGATGAAAAAATAAACAAATAATGAATATAATTTTTTGGATAGCCATGCCTTTTTTTTTTTATCTCTTCATATTTTTTTATTGCTGTTGTACGTAATTAGCAGGGAACTAAAAATATAAAGAATTAATAAATAACAATTTTTTAAAATTAATTAAAAGAATTTTTTAAACTTACAATTCCTTCTACTCCTCCTTTACATTTTCCTGTCCACCTAAAAATTTGTTAATAATATTAAGTTAATATCTGCATGTTTATAATAAGCATAATATACAAATAAATTCATACCATTCATTGTTGGATTCTGTTTTCTTTATAATAATGATAGTATCTCCTTTTTTAAAACTAAGATCGCCATCTTGTTCTCCAACAAAATCATATAATGCAATAGCTGTTTGTGGTTTCGGATTACGAGGGGGAATTTTGGGTTTTGGTGCTATTGGCGGAGGTTTGTTAGAATTATGAGACAAAGTACTCGACCTTTGAGAAGATTTTGCAGAATTTGAAGATTTTGGAGAATTTGAAGATTTTAGAGAACTGGGAGATCTTGCAGAATTTGAATTGTCAGCATCAAAAGGATTTGTACTGCGAGGGCTTTCATCTCTTTCATCATCTGATTTTGGTTTGTTACTAGAGTATGGAGGAGGTGGTTGACTAAAACGATTATTCCTCGAAATAGAATGAGAGGTTCTAGAAGATCTTGTTGACCTAACATCTTCACGTTCTATTGACCTAGAATCTTCAGACCCAATACTTGTAGTTTCATAAGTAGAAGAGCGTGCGGCTTTCGAATTTAGAGCCCTATATAAAACATCCGCTTGAGGCGGCTGTGGTACTTGCCCGGAAAGAAGTTCCTTAGCAGTTACTTTGCGATTATATAATTTTGCATTTGCATCTTTTCGTTCAATTATGATAGAACCTTCAATAGAAACCCCTATAAAAAAATCAAGTTGAAACTGAATATCCTGATTACAAATATAAAAAAAAAAACTTTTATAACGAGATAAAAATACCTGCAAATAGACCTTTTGTCTTACTAAAAAATTTAAGTTAAAATTGTAATTTAAATCAATATGTCATTATAGTAAACCAATTTCCGATAATTATAAACTAACCTATAAGAAAACACAGCAGCAACATGCCCAAGAGAAACAGAACCGGCACCCTCTGCATTGCGTCCAATTGGACCAGCAGCAACTAAACATCAACGCTAGTAAGTAAAACTAATATGATTTTAAATATTATCCGGAAATATTATTAACATACCAGACCTATAATTAATTTCGACAAAGAATAAAAAAAAAGCAATTATGATAAAATGTTAAATATGAATAAAAAAAATCCAAGATATGAAAACATGAAAACGCGTATGACTTACAAGTTTCCTCCTAAAGTGACATTTCCACCATGCATAAAAGATTTAACAGCAGCTCTACTGTTCAATACAATAACAAAGTCTGTGATCTCGGCACCAATTTGTCCACCAAAACCCTATAAAAGTCAAAAAAAAAAAAATAAATGAATCACAAATAAAAAAGGGAATGAAACTAGAGATTGTACCAGTGCAGAAACTGCTATTACATGTATTACATGACTATCCGATATAATAATTTTTCCGGATAATCTAATAATACTCGGATAATGATTTTTCTCAACTGATATAATCTCTAGAATTGATAAAAATTAATTTGTCAAGCTTACCATACCACCAGTACCAATTGCCGATGGAGCGGACCATGCTAAAGCGTATAAAAAGATTAAGGTATTTAAAAATTAAAAAGATTAATTGTACTTGAATTGAATTACTTACATCCATCTTCAAGTCTTAACAAAAAAAAAAAATGTATAAATTTTTTTAAATTTTACTTCTACTATTAAAAGTCTATATAAATACAGGTATTAATTACGTGACAATACCTTGCAATGACCAATCCCGAACCGGCTCTTCCTGAAAAAACAAAGCCAGCCTTGATAACGGTAAAAATTGCAAAACCTTTTGCTTTTTGTAAAATATTTGGTGGAATGACCTTATCAGGGCCCTTGAAGGTGGAAATAAGATTTTAACATTTAAATGGGATTATTTTTATAATAATTTCGTCAATTATATAACCTAATTTTAAAGTACCTTTGCTGCGATCGGATCTAAATAGCAATTGAATAAATCATTAATGAAAAAATAAGCAAAATGAAATTAGTTGGTACATAAAATGTCACGTACCAATAAAGCTATTTAAGATTTTGGCCGCCTTCTTACATTCGCCTGAAAAACATGTATGTTTTAAAATTGAT